ATACACACATATGGCAGACTGTCACTTTTATGTTTTCCTTTTTTTTCACCACTTTCCAACTACCAACAACAAGTTCATTATTCAAAATAGCAAAGAAGCAACAGTGGCGAATGGACACTGACGCCAATGTTAACTGACGAGAACTGACTGAAAACAAGAGATGCATTCGCCTCAAAACATGACTCGACATAATGCCCAACATCACACCCAACATGCGTGACAATAACAACAGTTGCACTTTTCACTCGCACGCACACACATATATGTTTTTTACTTTAATGGTGTCATATATTTCAATCACAGCCTTTATTTGCTCTGGATTGTTTATTTAAATCATTCAGTCATTTGTTTTATTCAATTGGAAATATATTTTTTTATGACAGATCTCTTTGAGTTATTGACAATACCTGTTGTTGTTGTTGTTGTTGTGGTGGGGATGGGACGTAAACAGTAAATGCTATAGGTAGGCTTAACCATATGAGACAAATGTGAAAGTAGCCATTTTTAAAGAGATGGGTAGGGACACATTGGGGAACTATTTGGTTCGAAGCTCCGAAGATGGAATTTTGAAATTTTGTATTTGGGTCCCTGTTGGTGATAGGTTTGTGATAAAGACGGGGTTTTGGAAATGTGCACTACAGTTGCACGAAAAGTACTAAATAGTACTATATTTGGTACAATTTGTAATTGGGTTAACAGATAGAGCTTGAGATCTGAAAGTTGGTATTAGTGTTCATGCCGTTCATGTGTATCCGGGACATATGGAGATGGTAGCGGAAATGTGTACAGGTGCTGATGGTTTTGGAAATTCTTCCTATATTTGTACAAAAAGTATTAAGTTGGTATTAGGTGAAAGGATAGAGCTGGAATCTAAAATGTGGTATAAATGTCACTGTTTGTGTCTGTGGAGGTGGTTTTTCAAACGTACTAAATAGTACAAAATATGATAGTGAGTGAAAGGGTAGAGCTGGAATCTCGAAACTGATACTGAGGTCTCTGTTGGTGTCTGTGGTTGAGAGAATGAGCTGGTTTTGGACATACCTACTATAATTGTACTAAATAGTGCTAAGTTTTGTAATGAGGGAAATTAAAGATCTGAAATCCTGAATTTCATGTTAAGGCCATTTTTTGGCATCTGAAGTTGAGATATGGAGATTATTTTAAAAATGCGTACTTTATTGTACGAAAATTACTAAAGGATAGTAAATTGTGTATTGGGTGAAGAGATAGAGCTGGTGTGTTGATATCTGAAATTGAGATAGTGAGGTGGTTTTGGAAATGTGTACTAAAATTGTACGAAAAGTACTAAATGGTACTGAATTGGGTATTGTTTGAAGGGAAAGAGAAACAAATTATAAAGTTAGATTTTTTTTACTGACGGTATCTGTGTTTGAGACTTGGGAGAGGTTTTAAAATGCGTCCTATATTTGTACAAAAAGTACTGGATGGTACCAAATTTCACATTGGGTGAAGAGCTATGGCTGGAATCTCGAAATTTGATATTGAGGTCTCATTTGGTATCTGAGAGATGGAGGTGGTTGTGGCTACACAACTGGATCTGGCCCCAGTAAAGCTCCAAGGGTTGAGAGAAGGAGGTGGTTGTGGCTACACAACTGGGTCTGGCCCCAGTAAAGCTCCAAGGGTTGAGAGAAGGAGGTAGTTGTGGCTACACAACTGGGTCTGGCCCCAGTAAAGCTCCATTCGACGCTATTAATCATTTTTTCGACTTCTCTCTAAAAAAAAATCTATTTTACTCCTTCTTCCTTTTCTCCTAGTGATGTAGTTACAATCTCCATTGTAACTACACATATTCGAACCGAACCTAACAAAAAAAAACCAAAAAACCTGTAAGTTCGGCCGGGCCGAACTTTGAATACCCTCCACGATTTGGAACGAATTTGGCAAATCTAAAAAAACAATAAAATCCGTTAAAATCTTAGAAATACCGAATGTAGCCGTTATATTAGGGTCAATACGACGACATGGGCCTGCATAGGTAATTTTTTTGCATAAGCCTTTACAATATTCAAATGCGAAACTTAGAAAAAAATCGGTGAATAATATAGCTACAGTCATCAACATTTTCGGGAGGTACCGTTATATGAGGGCCATACGAAAACATGGACCTGCACAGAGAGTTTTCTGTCTTAGGCTGCAGTATCCACTTCGAACTTCAAATGCCAAATTCGAAACAATTCCGGTGAATAATGTCGCCAAAATAATAAAAATACCGATTATCGAGAGGTACCGTTATATGGGGGCCATACGAAAACGTGGACCTGCACATACTATTTTTTGCCTTAGGCTGTAGTATTCATTACGAACTTCAAATGCCAATTTTGAAACAATTCCGGTGAATAATGTCGCCAAAATAATAAAAATACCGAATATCGGTAGGTTCGGTTATAAGGGGGCTATACGAAGACGTGAACCTGCACATACAATTTTTTGCCTTAGGCTATAGTATTCATTACGAACTTCAAATAATAAATTCGAAACATTCCGGTGAATAATGTCGCTAAATCATCAAAATACCGAATAACGGGAGGTACCGTTATATGGGGGCTATACGAAGGCGTGGACCTACATGGCACATTTACGAACTTAACCTGCCTATTGGCAAAATATACATGTGTGCAAAATGTTAGCCCTCTATCTCAATTCGTTCGAAGGATAGCGTGATTACAAGAGACAGACGGAGAGACAGACACACAGACAGACAGGAGGACATGGCTAAATCGTCTTAGAATTTTACGCTGATTAAGAATATATATACTCTGTTGGGTCTGACATGAGTATTTCGAGGTGTTACAAAACGGAATGACAAAATTAATATACCCTCCATGCTATGGTGGAGGGTATAAAAATACTGCAATTCTTTTTATACCCTACACCACAAGGTGGTAAGGGTATTATGTCTTTGTGCATTTGTTTGTAACAGGCAAAAGGAAACGAGATAGACCCATAGTTCCTTTTGATGATCTGCATAGAATCACATTCTGAGTCGAATAATGCATGTCCGTCCGTCCGTCTGTCCATGTATTTCTGTAAACAAAGTACAGTTCGCATTTATTGTCCTATCCAGATGAAATTTTGCACAAATCATTTGTTTGGCCCAAGAACGAACCCCATTGAATTTGGAGATAATGGGTCAAAATTTAGATATAGCTCCCATATATATCTTCGTCCGATTTGCTTTTTATTGTGCACCAAACGTGGAATATCAGCCCGAATAGTATGAAATTTTGCACATACAACCAAATTAGGCCTGAAAATAAGTATGCCAAATTTTATCGAGATCGGTTCAGATTTGGATATAGCTCCCATATAAAACTTAGACCGATTTACGTTTTAATGTGCACCAAACGTCTAATATTTGACCAAATGGGATGGAATTTGGCGCATACGACCGAATTGAGTGTAGTAGCTAGTATGTCAAATTTGGTGAAGATCGGTTCAGATATAGCTATATATCCCATATATATTGTTGATCCGATTTGTCATATTTGTTATCCACAGCCGTAATATGCACTCCGTAACAACGATATTCAGGAAAATATATCAAATACGGCTCAGAAATATCTTGGCCAAATTTTATTGAAATCGGTTCCGATTTGGATATAGCTCCCATATATATCTTTATCCGATTTCAAATTAATTGTGCACGAAATGGGCAATACAAGTCCGAATTTAAAAGATATAATTGCTTTGGCATAAATAGTCCTTTGAATTATAATTATAATTATAATTTTATATAATTATAATTATGATTATGTATGTTGAATTCTCCCATTAAAACGTTTAATTGTTATGCGGAGCTCTACTAAATTAGCAAAGTGGTGTAGGGTATCATAAAGTCGGCCCCACCCGACTTTAAGACTTTCTTTACTGGTTTATTATTTAAAGACTGTTTAATTAATTAATTTATTTATTTATTTATTTATTTATTTTTTTTTTTTTTTTTGAGAAACGGGTCTCCTGTAAGCATCTGAGGGTTAAAAGGTCATTTAAAAAAATACTCGTTTAACCTCAACCATTTTTAATGGCAACTTTTGACATTTGCTAACGAAATAGGTCATGTGCCAGATACGCATGTATATAAATATGTATCTCTCTTTGTCCACACATACATATGTATATATAGACATATAATAAATATATCAAATAACAAATTATAAAATAAGTATTAATTCCAATGAAAACAATTAGCACACGGCAGACAATGAATCAAAGAAAAAACAATATTTTTCCAACAAAAAAAAAAAAAAAAAAAAAAAAAAAAATAGAAAATAAAAATAAAAAAAATGAAAATAAATAAAAAAAACATAAATTATTAAAAAAGCAAACGTCAAGTCCATGACTTATGAGTTGTTTACAAAAAAAAAAAAAAAAAAAAAAAAAAACAAATAATCATTGTGCAAAAATCATCATGTTTGTGGTCACCATATATCCTTTACTGTGGTCAACAACAACAAACATGCCAAAAGTTTTGTTGGGTGGGGAGGAGGAGATCCCAGAATAATAGGAAAAAAACCCCCTTGCCTTCCTTCTTTGGTAGTGAACTTGTAATTATATTTAAATCATCCAATTAACATTCAATAAAACTAGCATCCTGTGCAGAACCTCCCCTCTTTGTTAGGAAGAGAGGTTGGGGAGAGAGAAAAAATCGCTCTCTTTTTTATTGCTGTTTTGGGGGTGACCCTTCATACCCCTTTTGGAGTTTCGTTTGAGTTATTCAAGCCAAACTGTTTTGTGTTTCCGCTGAGCTTAATACTCATTTCCGTTGTTGGTTTTTCTTGTAGTCGTCCATGGTGTTGTTGCTGTGTTTGTTGTTTTTGGCTTCCAAAATTTCCTCTGTGCATAGCTAACGTAGAAGGCAATCCTAACCAGGGAAAAGTTTTCGTTGTTATTTTCAGACAAAAAATACAAATTACCATAACAAACACCCAGCACAAGGCAGCCATGCAACCTCCCATCTCCCAACTCCAACTCCAACCTACCTGTTATTATCCACAATTCTTTTAGGCACTCCTCTCGTGATTTGGCTATTATGGCGGACTTGCTAATATCCTGCGGTGCCTCGAGCAGAGGAAATACCAAAGCACCCATTATCGTATAACCGATAACCATTACGACCAGGCCCGGTGTGGAGAAGATTAACTTTAGAGCGCGACTCAAACAATTGTTGATGTTGATGGCACGGTTGTTGGTGTTGTTCGTGTTTTTTCTACCTACACTCAGGTTTTTGCTATCTGGAATATAAGTATGAGGATGATGTTGTCGATGATATTGCAGCTGTTGTTCCAACTGATGTTGGCTTAGCTGTTGTTGTTTTTGTTGATGGCGCTGCTGCTGCTGTAGAAAACTGTTTCCGCTATCGTTTTTTGTGTTATAGCTATTCGCCTTATTATTCAAAGGTGTTGAGTGATGTTGTTGGTGTTGCTGCTGTTGCTGTTGGGTTTGTTGTAATAGTTCTTCATCCTCTATTAAGCCGGAAATCGCCTTTTCAACGTCCGACATTGTAAACAGCTGGAGAACAACATAAATATATTTGGCTCATTGATGGTTGGATGTTGATGTCGCCGGCAACAACTACAACAGACATTTAGACGAGTTTTGCCGATGCTCTTCTTTTCCAACGTGCAGTGTGGGGTTGTGAGGGAATTCTCTCGCTCTCTCTCGCTCTCTCTCGCTCTCTTAATTCGTAATTAAAACCATAAATGGCTTTTTTCAGTAATTTGCCTTTTACAAAAACTTAGTTTTGTTTGTGTGTCACAATGGCATTATTCATTACCCCTCTCTTTGACACACTCTCTGCCTCTCTTTGCCTGCCTCACTGTTGTATGATTGTCTTCTTGTGAGTCTTTGTGTGTGTGTGAGTGTCTGTCTCCAACTTAAGCCTATTACACGTTTCACTTTGTTGCTGCTGTTATTCTCTCAAATCGTCTTGTCGTCGACGTCTATTATTTGCCATGACTCGCCGTCTCTCACAGACCGTTAATGCCTCCATGAACATTGTTTGTGTTGTTGTCTTCGTCGTTGTTGTTGCTGTTGCTGCTGTTTGTAATGTCATTGTTAAATTGCATTGTTAAGTATCTGCTTGTCATACAGCTTCTCAGTGGCATTTAGCTGCTGCTGCTGCTGCCACTGCTACTAATGCCGTTGTTGTTGCTGTTGCTGCTGCCTTTTGCTGTTTTGTACCGCATGTCACTTGGCCATTGTTGTTAATGTGTGTTGCATCATCATTATTATTGTTGTTCCACTAAAAGTCTGCAATAAAAATAGAACAAGAAGAAGAAAAAAAAGAAGCATGAGTACAATGAGCACCGAGAATAGTTTGATAACTCGAGAGTGTCTTAAATGGCAGCCAATAAAAGTGAATGGAAATAAGGTTGAGATTTTGTTTTTTTTTTTTTTAAGAGAAATATTAAATTTTTGGCGAAAATAGGCATAAACTGTTTAAAAATCAACAGAGCAGATTCTTCAATACCCTCCAAAGAGCCAAACATTTAAAAGAAAACTGTCAATACCTATGGCAAAACGAAATCTAGGTTCTTGTCCATGGATGAGATGTAAATATATGAATCTTATTAAATATATTTTTAAAATAATTTTCGATCCAGAAATTAAATAAAATACATTTTTTTAACAAAGTAGAAGCCATGTTCTAACAGCCCTTAAGGGCACCTTGTTCCTTAAATATTAACAAAAAAATTGTGAGCTGCTCAAAAATCTAAAAATAGCACAACAGCACTTATAAAAATGACCTCAGAAGATCAAAGTTTTTTTTTATAAAATATCCATAAAAATCTACATATGTATATGAAAAAAAAAAATAAAAATTTACAATAAATAATTCTGAACTCTGGGAAAATACAAGTTTTGTGATATTTTAAGCATTAAAACAACGGGGTGCGGGGCCGACCATGTGATATCTTACAACACTATAATATGTTAGTAGCTCCCTTATGTCCAAATCCATTTTGAAAGATTTCACTTTTGAAATCATGTCATGGAAAACTGCCTAGATATAACCCATAGCATTTCAATCAGGGACATTTGTCACTCCGTCGTGCTGTTAGTTGTTGTTGTCCATTTTACAGCTAAATATAATTCAATGATCATCCGAAATGCTAGAACTCTTCCCTGTCCTTAACTCTCTTCTCAGGCGTGTCGATTGGCTTTGGTTCATTTGAACCCCTAAATATTTTGCGATCATCTCCAAAAGCAAGAGGCCCCTCTGTATCTCCAAATTTAGTCTCATGTATATAATTTGCTTCTCTACGATATTTGGCTATATTCGTCAACGAAACCAGCATAAACAAGTAAAAAAGCTGTTAGTTAGGCCGGGCCGAACTTTGAATACCCTCCACCATTTGGAACGTATTTGGCAATTCTCAAAAACAATAAAATCCGTTAAAAATTTTGTTAATATCTTAGAAATACCGAATGTAGCTGTTATATTGGGGTCAATACGACGACATGGACCTGCATAGGTAACTTTTGTCATAGGCCATTACAATATTCAAATGCGAAACTTAAAAAATAAATCGATGAATAATGTAGCTAAGATCATCAAAATACTGAATATCGGGAGGTACCGTTATATGGGGGCTATACGAAGACCTGGATCTGCACAAAAATTTTTCTGTCATAGGCTGTAGTATCTATTCAAACTTCAAAGTACCAAACTTGAAGCATTTCCGGTGAATAATGTCGCTTTAACCACCAAAATACCAAAAATAGGAGGGAGGTACAATATGGGTACTAATCCAATACGTGAACCTTCATGGCCCATTCTCAATGACAAAAGTCCTGCAGACATTATATACATTTGAGTAAAATCTTATTGACCTACTTCATTTCGTTTGGAAGCTAGAGTAATTTCTACAGAGGGACAGATGGACGGACGGCTAAATCGACACAGAATTTTTTGGTGATTAAGAATAAATACATTGTGGGGTCTAAAATGTATATTTTGAGATGTTACAACTGGAAATGACAAGCCTAATATACCCTCCATACTATGGTGGAGGGTATAATAATGGCATGTGTGAAATTTGTAGGGAACCGGATGCTTATTTCAGATTTTATGATCGTTATGATTACTCAAAATTTTGACCCTTTGTGGAGGAGGTACCAGATGGAATGGTCCGATCTCTAAAATTTTTATAGATCCTGTGCTGACGGAAATATTCAGATGTACATAGTCTGAATGGAACCGGATGTTAATTTCGTCTTTTATAAGCTTCATGGACATTTAAAATTTTTTTATGGGGGAGGTACCGGAAGGATTGGACCGATATATCCCACCTTCCCCGAAGATATTGTGTTAGTAGAAATAATGGGATGTGTGAAATATGAAGAGAATCTGATGCTTATATAGGATTTTATACACGAATGTGTTATTCAAAAATTTTACCCTTTGTGTGGGAGGTACCAGAAGGAATGGTCCGATTTCTACCATCTTTATAGCATATCTTGTGTTGATGGAAATATTGAGATGTGACAAGTTCGAATGGAATCGGATGTTAATTTCGTGTTTTATGAGCTTCATGAATATTCAAAATTTGGAACCTTGTGGGGGAGGTACCGGAAGGAGTGAACCGATATATTCCATATTCATAATAATAAAATTATTGGATATATATAAAATTTGAAGGCAATCTGGCATCACATTTTACAAGAGTTGTAATTATTCAAAATTTTGACCGTTTGTGGGGAAGTACTTGATGGAGTGGACCGATATTGTCCATTTTCGTACCTGACCTAGAACTGATGCAAATATTAGGATTTGCAAAATTGGAGCAAAATGTACCAAGTTTACCACATCGGATACTCACTTCGAGAGTTATCGTGCGCAACAGCCACTCCAAATATCCTGAAGGGGATTTGGTCCAAAAAGACCTAGGGTCTAAAACCGTTATTTCGGCCCTATCAATTAATATATACCCTCTCTAGACATATGGCTGAGGTATAAAAATCGATACTTGTCCTAAAAAATAAGGTTAGTTCTTGAAAAATGTCCTTAAAATCTTAGTTTGTTGTTCGCTAATTCCGTGAAGTCCAATAATGACTCCTAAAAACCAATAATGACTCTTTTAATCCTTAAAATAAACACTGTCAATAATTTAGATCTTCCCTTTTGGGTTTTTGAAATTTATCCCCAAATAAGTGTCCTTTTCTCTTTTGGTTCTTGGAGATTGCCACAAACACAAAAGTCTCAAACAATCGAAATTTTCTCTTTGTGTCCTTGAAAATTTATATTTTCTTTTTTAGTTCTTAATTTCTTGGAAACCATTTCTTAAAAAACCTACGGCTGCTTGCCCTTGGGTCCTTGGACAAAAATCTTTAAATATATTCCTTGTGCCACCTTACGAAAAAATACCTTGGTCCTTGGAAAATATTCTTTAGATCCATGTGTCTTAGTCCTGGGAAAAACCTCTTCGAAAACCAAATCAACGGCTGTTTGTCATTGTGTCCTTGGCAAAAAATCTTAAAAAATATGTTTCAAGTTATTTCTTAATTCCTTAAAAAAAAAAATCTTTAAAAAATCTACGGCTGTTTGCATTTGAGTCCTTGGACAAAAATCTTTGAATATATTCCGTGTGAGACCTTAAATGATGTCCTTTTAAATTATGTCTTTGTTATTAAAAAATACATCCTTTAGGGAAATTGAAAATATATTCTTCCAAAAAACAAGATCTTTTGGGTCCTTGCAAAATATAGTTTATAAAAATCGGAATTCGTTGCTCTTTGAGTCCTTGAAAATAATATTTAAAAAAAATACAAATATTTTTCGAAATTTCATCTTTGTTGGTCCTTGAAAAATTATTCCTTATGAAAATAAGTCTGAAAAAATATTGCCCAAAAAGCCAATATTTTTGTCCTTTAGGTCCTTTTAAAAAATTGTCCTTAAAAATTACGTCTTGTTATTAAAAAATACACCCTTTAGGGAAATTGAAAATATATTCTTCCATAAAAACATATATACCCTTTAAATATATAATAAAATATAGTTCATAAAAATCGGAATTCGTTGCTCTTTGGGTCCTTGAAAAAAATATTTAAAAAAACACGAATATTTTTCGAAAAATTCATGATTCTTGGTCTTTAAAAATTTATTCCTTAAAAAAATACGTCTAAAAAATATTGCCAAAAAAAGACAATATTTTTGTCCTTTAGGTCCTTTTAAAAAATTATCCTTAAAAATTATGTTTTTGTTATTAAAAAAATACATCCTTTAGGGAAATTGAAAATATATTCTTCCAAAAAACATGATCTTTGGATCCTTGGAAAACATAGTTTATAAAAATCGGAATTGGTTGCTCTTTGGGTCCTTATAAAAATTCCAAGGATATGCCAAATATTATTCGAAAAATCCATTATTCCTTAAGAAAATACGTCTGAAAAAATATTGCTAAAAAAGTCAAGATTTTTTCTCTTCCAAAAAACATAATCTTTGGATCCTTGGAAAATATAGTTTATAAAAATCGGAATTTGTTGCTCTTTGGGTCCTTGAAAAAAATATTTAAAAAAAAAAACGAATATTTTTCGAAAAATCCATGTTTGTTGTTCCTTGAGAAATTCCTTAAGAAAGTACGTCTCAAAGAACATATTGCCAAAAAAGCCAATATTATTGTCCTTTAGGTCCTTTTAAGAAAATATTGCCAAAAAAGCCAACATTTTTGTCCCTTAGGTCCTTTTAAAAAAATATCCTAGGGAAATATCTTAGGGAAATTGAAAATATTCTACCAAAAAATATATATACCCTTTAAATCAAAATATAGTTTATAAAAATCGGAAATCGTTGCTTTTTGGGTCCTTGAAAAAAATAATAAAAAAAATACTAATATTTTTCGAAAAAGCCATGTTTGCTGGTCCTTGAAAAATTATTCCTTACGAAAATACGTCTCAAAAAACATATTGCAAAAAAGCCAATATTTTTGTCCTTTAGGTCCTTTTAAGAAAATATTGCCAAAAAAGCCAACATTTTTGTCCCTTAGGTCCTTTTAAAAAAATATCCTAGGGAAATATCTTAGGGAAATTGAAAATATTCTACCAAAAAATATATATACCCTTTAAATCAAAATATAGTTTATAAAAATCGGAAATCGTTGCTTTTTGGGTCCTTGAAAAAAATAATAAAAAAATACAAATATTTTTCGAAAAAGCCATGTTTGCTGGTCCTTGAAAAATTATTCCTTACGAAAATACGTCTCAAAAAACATATTGCAAAAAAAATCAAAAATTTTTGCCCTTTCGGTCCT